CTTTTCTTTTTTTGGGTGGAACCGGGGATTGAATTCAAGTCCTCATGCTTGCCAGGGAAGCGATTATTCCACTGAGCCATCTCCCTGGCCCCTTGCCTTTTCTTCTAGTTTGTCCAAAACCCACAGTCAGAAAATATAAAAAGATTGGCCCTGGCTTATTCTAGGAAGGACTGGTTATATTTTTGCAGGCCTGTGGGTGAAATACTAAACAAGGCTAGGGGTGTGAGAGGCCTCAAAGAGTTTCTTATTCAATCCTCTGTGTGTTGTTCAGTTTTTTTTTTTTTTGTTACTATGTTAGTTCTTTTTGATATCGTGAATCCATCAATGAATTACTCCACAGATGAGGGCAGAGTCCTCATGGTCCCATCACCCTGCCAATGGTCCTACCTCTGAACATATTTTTTGTGTTGAGCTACACTTTCAACACAATGAAACTTTGGGGGACCATTTCATATCTGAACTACAATACTCCTATTTTCAAGAGCAACAGACAAGGTTGCAAAAGAACATTATTTGTGATTATCTTTTGATGATTAACTCAAAGTCCTCACAGAGTGGTAGGAACAGGGCTGAAGTGGATCTCTGGTCTTCAAATTTTCAGGCCAGTGGATTTATGATCTACAGTGTGTTCTATGGCCTCATGGAAATAAGAACCTCATATTGATCACAGGTGACTAAGCTGTTGAAAAACTTTTCTGAGTGTCCCTTGGCACAGTGAAGAGCAAGGCTGAGAAGACTCCATCCTGATCGTCTGGTCCTTGTAGAGCTAGGTGTTTTTAGAGGATACATGTGCAGTACTCCCCACAAGTTACTTTTCTGGCTCCTATTTCTTTAGCTGCTGAGAGCACATACATAGAAAAGTAGATTTTTGGGAGGTACCATGAGGGAGGAGAGATGGAGGGGAGAGGATATGGTGCATAAGGAGAGGAACAGAACATCTCCTGAAGAATTTTCTCAGAGGGAAATATTTAGTTGCTTATACTTTCTTCTTTTTCCAAAAGATTAGTTGTGGCTAGCAATTCTGGATTAAACTTCAACTCTCTCCAGTGCAGACTTTTCTCCTTTCTGGTAAACTTGAGTTGCCATGGTGAGAAAGTAGCCTGGGATAAGTCAAATATAAAACACTGGGAACAATACCTCAGCCTATAGGAGAATTAATTAGAGACCAGCCATGTGTTTCCCGTTCCCTGCAGCAGGTTCAATTGCTTCGTGATTTATCACCTGTTTTCCTAAGGCAAACATTAACTCTCATTCTCAGCTCTCCTCTCTCGAGCGAGTTAAGAATGGCTAGGGGCGGCAGGGGAGGGCAAAGACTAATGAGTGCATTTCCTGGTGCTCTTTCCTGGGACTCCTAGACCCATCCTGCAGCCCTGTTGTGAAGGCACCTTCCTACTTCTTCCTGTTTCCACTGCTGATCCAGTGCCATCACTTAGGGACTATGTGAACTAACTTGAAGGGATACTCTGGTGTCCCAGTAGCTTACCCAACTCACGTGACATTACGGAGTTTCCGAAGCACCTTCTCAAGTCGTCCTGTCCTGTCTTTGCCATGACCTTGAGCAGCAGAAGTGGTGGAAGCGATCAAAGCTGTTGCTTACTTACGCGAATAGGAACCGAGAGACAGTGAGGCCATGGTTGGCCGTGTTCGCTGCACCGAGCTGCGCGAGTCTGAGCCTCCTGAGGTCCAGTCTGTGGCTCAGCTGTTCTTCTGTGTTGCCACTGATGTGTGAGCATGGAGGCCACATGGGACGCGTGCCTGACCGTGCATCAGAGCAGAGGAGAAAGCTGTTTCTTGTTTCAGTCTTCTCAAGTGTAACAAAGTGTGTGTCAGAGAGAGTTAAATGTACAGCATGGTGTCTGTAGTTAACAAAATTGTGTTATATACCTAGAACTTGCAGCAATAGTGGATTTGGTTTTTCAGCTCTCCTCCCCTCCCCCAGAAAACAATGGTAACTGCGGAGGTTGATGGGTGTGTTGATTAGCTCGATTCTGGCCATCTTTTCCAGTAAATATCAAGTTGTGTACTTTAAATATATATAATTCCTATTTGTTAATTATACCTTTAAACAAAGGGGGCCTGTTGGGGTTTAACTAGTACTAATGATCTCTGTTCAGTTGTCCACTCCAGGGTGGTGTGGCCTGAGGCTGGGTGTCTGAGAGGGACTTGAGGCTAGCTCTTGCCATGGTTTGTGCGGTGGTGTTCCCTTCCGCCCAGAATTCAAGGACTGGGACCTGATACTCAGTGTGACAGTGTTAAGAGGTGGATGTCTCTGAGGAAGTGCTTATGTCCCAGGGACTCCCCTCCAGTGAGTGGAATTTGTGCCTTTGTGCACGAGGCCAACGGGAGCTGCCCTGCACTACCACCACGTGAGGGTTCAGCAGGAGGTCACCATGCAGGAAGCGAGAAGTCCTCGTCAGACCCCTGAGCTGCTGGTGCCTTGAAATTTCTAGGCTCCAGAACCATGAGTAATCAATTTATGCTGTTTTATAAGTTATTCATCCTCAGATATTTTGCTATAGCAGGCTGAACAAGCTAAGATAATTCTATGGCATTTATTTTGTACAGAAGTGGGTGTAATAAAGAAGTTACTAAATATCTCTGAGCATACAGGAGCATTCCTAACATCAGCATTGCTGGTAAATGCTCTGAAGAAGATGAGATTGCTTAGGGGAGGAACTACTGAGTCATGAGAAATTCAGGTGCTTAGTTAAGTTTTCCTATCTAAAATGTCAGAGTCATCTGAAGTTGCTCAAGAAGTATGATGATCAAGAGTCAAGATTGAACCAGCCCAGCAGTGAAACCAAGTGCTAACATTTACCAGACACATAAAGTGCAAAGCATTTTCCCCAGAATATTCCATTTTAGTCTCCCCGGAAGACAACGAGATAGGTACTGTTGTTACCCCTTTTGATAGTGAGGAACTGAAACTGAGAGATGATCAATGATTTGTTCAATATCTTTCATCCAATGAAGGGCCAGATCTGCCTAACCCTAACTCCACCCCTAGCTGACTGCAGAATTAGCTCTTAAGTTGAATAAATGACCAAGCATAGTTACACTATAATTTACAGTGGGTTAGGTTCTGGTTAGAGACTAGTTTACAGTGGGTGAAGCTCTGTTTAGAGAGCCGAGCAAGGGCTTATCTTTGCAAGGCTTGCCTTTTTGCTTAGCAACTGTATAGAAGCTATCCAGTGACAGGTAAAGATTTCCTTGGAGAGCTTGGAATCTGACTGAAGATGATTGGCCATTTTTGGAGGATGCTTCAACCCAGCAAGGCTGAGGAAACAGAAAGCACTCTTGGCAGCTGTGGAGATACTCTGAGAGGCTCACTGCCTGATATGCAGTTTCCAGACTCTGGAGGACCCCCCACCCTTTGTTATGACAACACAACATTACCTCAGATGCATTGCAATTCAACTGAGTAGGTTACCATAAGCCACATTCCAACACTTTTTCCTGGGGAGACACCCTGGGGTGATTCTGATGGGACCTAGGGGGAGACTCTGGTGCTTTTAATTGAATTTTTAAGGCATCCTGTTCTCCTTGACAGAAAATGGGGAGAATCCCTACAGCCATCAACAGCACATTTACAACCATATCCGGGTTTATTTTTGCAGGTGGAGAATCTCAGTCATTTTATGTTCTTATTGTTTTCACTTACTGACCAAATTCTGGGACTGGGCCCAGCCTGAGGCTTGTAACCTCTTGAGTGTTATTATAGAGAAGTAGGGCACGATGAATGACTTTCTCATTTTTGCTTTTGATTCAGGATTTTTTTTAAAGGGGACAATTAGGTGTTACATAGTTAGGCATGTAGATATAAGTATGCATGCACATATACATATTTATTCTGAAATATACATATTGGGGAGCTGGGGGAAACCACTCTTTGAGCCCCTGCTTGATATATTTTGCTTGCTAAGATAGATTCATCTTTTGTCCTTTCCTTTGTTTCTGATACAGGTCCTTTATCTTAAGTGTTTTTATAATTGGAACTAGAGATAACATAATTTATCTATCTCTCTAATAATTTATTTAACATGACTTATACAGCAATGCTTCAAGCATATTATAAATATTAGTTGATGTATTATTGTATTTACATGTTTTTGAAGTGGACCGTTCAAAATCAGGAAACCGAGGCGGATTTTCCTCTTTGCTGGGGAAGTGGACTTGCATGGTGCGAAGTGATAGCCAACTCTTGCTTGTTTGAGAGATTTGGGGTTTGTTTTCTGCACACAAGAATGATAAAAAGCTATGGTATGAGAACACTGGGGGGACAGAAAGAGAGCAACCATTCTTTTACAGCTGAAAAGCTAATTATCAAAGGCTGGATTTACAGCTAAGCACTCACAGCTATTAAAACACTTTTATTATTAAAATTCCTGCAGGAAACATAACTTCATTATTGTCATACTCAGCCTCTCTAAGTTGGAAATTTCCCCTCCCTTTGAAGCAGTTTTGTGCATAATGTGCTTTTTAATGAGCTGTGGTTTCTCTGGAATGCAAATACCGTGTCTGAGCCAGCAGACTCATCTTTCTAGCCTTTGTCTCCCTTCCTTTGCCCAGGACACTTTATCTCACTATTCCAGCAGATGAGGCTGAGGCAGGATGGTAAAGGGTGGGATCTTCCCTGATTGATCAGGCTTCTGGTTGGTTGGCACATGAAGTCAATCAAGCCTGAGTTTGCTCAGGAAGTGGCTCATGTAAGTAGGAGCAATGATTGTGAGCAGGAAGGTAGTGGTGATGCACTGAGAGGTGACTGATGGACAAGGTGCTTTGGAGGTCAACTTGACAGGAGCTGGCATTGGTCATGGGGGATGAGAGAGAGCAATCTGCTCTAGATTCGGACTTGCCTGGATGTTGGCTGCTAAGGTTCTGTGACTCAGGGACATCTGTAGCTCAAGTGTTTGCCATGATGCATGGCACGTTGTCAGCAATGAATAAATCCCCCCCTTTTTGTTTTCTACCTTAGGTTTATTTGTACAAAGAACACAGGAGGACACCAGCCCCCCACAGATGGCACCCCAGGGGTCACACCAGTCCTTCTGTTTTTACATCAGCAGATAACAGGCTTTTACTGTGGAGACTTTTGGGGCCCTGGACACCTTTGTGAACCTGGCCTGGAGCAGAAGCTGGAGCCTGGGCCTTGGCTGGAGCCCAGGCCTTTGGCCGGCAAGGTTTGCGACCTTTGGCAATGTGGGCATGGATACACTTCCCAAGTTTGGGGCGGGCAATATAGGCAAGTCGAGTGAGCCTGTTGTTTACTACCTTTGGAATGATCTTGGGCTTGACCTCCTTGGGTTTGATGATGACCTTATAGCCTTGGCACATGCATTCATGGCTTTGGTATTGTTTGATTGCATTTCCTTGAATCCCCTTTTGTTGTGCTTCTTGGCAAAATGCATGATCCTAAGGAACTTGGGATTTACCCCCTTCAGAGAGACGCATGTTTGTGACCGAGGTTTCTTGGTACCATTTCTGTGCCATTTTGGGGACTGGTTGTGCGTGGTGTGACTCTTGGACTTGGCCATAAAGTCACTGTAAATTGCACTGTAAATTGTGGTGACCAAACACCTAGAACCAGAAGATGAAAAGAAAAAGGATGAATCCTTAATGAATATATGAATGAGTGAGAGATGAATGAAGAAGTGATCCAACGAGGTCCTGTGTTTTACCACAACCACATAACCACTGAATGGCAGAACTAATCTTGTAATTCAGGTTTCCTGAGTATTTAAGTCAGCTTTTCTGGACTACAAAATACTCCATAACCAGAACCTAAAGGAGAAGCTTACTTTTGCTAATGGTGTCAGTGGACTCAGTACATGGTTGGCTAGTTCCAACACAGAAACACTGTGGCAGAAGAGGATGCCCACTCAAAGCTGTATACTTTACGGCAGTGGACAAGCAGAGCAGGGGGCCGGATCCAGAGAGGATGGGCCAGGAGCAGACCCTATGGCCACACCTCCACGACTTGGCCACACCTAGAAATGTGCTCTATCCCTCACCCAGGGCAGATCCCAAGGCAAATCAAGCTGACATGCCATCCTTACCACCACACTGTGTGACAGGACTCTTGGCTTTATGTCCTTTTGGTGGTCTATCTTCCAGATTTTCAACTCTTTGAAGGATAACTACTCATCATTTGGCAGTGGAAGACTGGATCAAAGGTACGTGTCTGCATCCCAGCGTGCACATTTCCTAGGCAAGAGTGTGGTTTCCTTTTAGGGCTAAGTGAGGAAGAACCTGGGGAAGGACTGGAAATCAACACACTGTAGGGTTCCCAGGTCTTTCCACTGTCACAAAATGTCAACTTTACTTTTTTATTGTCTTAATCTTTTTCATGCTGCTAGAGCAGAATATGTGATGAGATAATTTATAATGAATAGAAATGTCTCTCTTGCAGTTCTAGAGGCTGAGACAGCCAAGGTCAAGCTGCCCCACCTGGAACCATCCCACTGCATCTTTCCTTGGCAGAGAGCAGAGGGGTAAGAGAAGAAGAACAAGGGTGAAGGAGAAGGAGAGAAAGGAACTTTTTTATTTTTTAAAATTTATTTATTTGTTTGGTACAGGGTCTCCTGGTGCAGCTCAGACTCATAGTGATCCTCCTGTCTTAGCCTCCCCAGTGCTGGAATTACAAGTATGCATCACCATGCCCAGTTTCGGTGGTCAGCATGGTATGCTCGGGTTCTGGGGGTAGCATGGCATGTGGTACCAGAGATCAAACTTGGGTTCCTGTGCTTGCCAAGCAGGCGCTTAGACTGCCAAGCTATCTCCCCAGACTGACTGTGGTATGTCTTAGGGGAGCTCTGCTTTTTACTTTGAGTCTTGCTCCCTGGCTCCAGTGCAGACCCCTCAGCCTGCTAGCACAGATCCTTCATCTTGCTGGTACAGACTTTCTAGCTTCTGCCTCTGACCTTTGCACCTCTCCAGTGCAGATCCGTGAAACAGACATTTGCACGAAGCATTGTTGTGGGCTCTAGGCCTGCAGCTGGACTCCTGTGGGGTACTGTCATGGGCTCTAGGTCTTTAGCTGGATTCATGAAGGATATTGTCATGGGATGCAGGCTGGATTCTTTTAGTCTAGTGTGTGGACAGATTTGTATATGATCTCTCTTTACATATGATCCTTAGGGTGGCTACTATTAAATAATACTATAATGTATGTGTCCTTTTGTTCCCCTTGCAAACCCCAAACTATAACAGTGCCATCAGTCCTTCTAGCCCTGGAGTCTGCACCATGCTGCTTTTCCTACTTCTTCATATTTAGTCAACATGGCATGGTGAGAGTAGGTATCACTAGCTCTATTTTACAGGTGTGGTACTTGGTCTACAGGTTAAGTAACTGACCACAACATTAATTTTTTTAATTATACAATGTTGAATCCCAGACTAAAGTTCAGGTTTATTGCATTTCCAAGCCCATTAATTTAAAGTTACAGTCACTACCCACCTGCACACAGTATGAATCTTTGGAGGGTTGAATTCACAGTCCTGGTGGATACCAAAGACACCAAGTCTACAGATGTGCAGGTGCCTTGTGTAAACTGGTGTGGCGTTTTCATGCTTATACACAACTCTTGTTATTTTATCTCTCAATTACTTATAATACCTAATACAATACAAATGTTCTATAGATGGCTGTTATATGGCATTGCTTGGGGAATAATGACAAGACCAAAACATCTGGTTTATTTTTTATTTTTTTTGGCAGAACCAGGGATTGAACTTGGGCCCTTGCACTTGCCAGGCAAGCACTTATTCAACTGAGCTATCTCTCCAGCCCCTAGACTAAAACATCTGGTCATACTTAGTGCAGATATATTGTGGGCTTGATTACATCTTCAATCAGGGGTTTAATTGGTAGGTACAGAACCTAATATACAGAGAGGTTATTGCATTTCATAAGGTAGAATCTGTGTCTTATGATTAATTATCTATCCATTCTCATAGTACCTTACAAACAAGGAATACTTAATATCTTTTTGATGAACAAATGTCAGGTAAAGAACAATACCTTGTTTAGTTTAAGGTACATGGTTTTAATTTAAGATTCTTGGAAAGTAATTAAGATCTCCAAAAAACACGGGTTGACGACTTATTGGAAGCCTAATTCGAAATTCAGCTTTTGAGTTGGGATGCAGGGGTAAGGAGGACATTTGGAAACATTTTGTGGTTTAGATTTACATAAGAAGCTTTCTAAGGTAAATGAGTACAGATGATCTTTGTCTGAAAGGAGGGTGATGTCCAGGCAAAGTGGCATGGTGTAGGTACTATGTGGATTGAATGTGTCCCGCTAGGATTGCTGTCTTGGGAAATTATTCCCCAAGTCTGTGCAAGCATATTTGTAAGCGAGGTCAGTGGGAGATGACTAAGATCAGACAAGGTCATGAGGGCGGGAACACCGTGGTGGCATCCGTGTCTCCATAAGAAGGAAGACCAAGGCTGCCCATGAGCTGCCTTGCCACGTGCCTCTTCCCAGGGCAGTAACATGCCTGTACTAGATGTTGATGTCGTGCTAATGACATCCCAGCCTGAAAATTGTGAGCTGAATTTTTATGCCTTGTAAATTACCCTGTCTGTAGTATTGAGTTATAACAACAGAAAATGGACTAAGACAATAGCCAGAAAAGAGCTGAGGGGACACTAAAAGTTTCCCAAAGTGTGTTCCGGGGAGACATGTACCCAAGAAATACAGTCGCATAAGATATCTGAGAATTCCTATATTAAAAAGGCTTAACAACAACAAAGCCCTTTTCACTTAACCAGTATCTTCAAATGTATTCAACATTCATCTTTCCCCACTCCTCCTCACCTACCACCATTTGTTTATTAAGCAACTAGCAGTAGTCAGAGCCCAGAAATGCAAGAAAGTTCGCTGAGCTGCAGCCTGCCTCCCCTAGTCACTGCAGAAGGCGGGCTGACAGCTATGGGGCACTGGCGAGCCCTGCCTGACCCCCACACCTTCTTGGGAGCCTTGCTGAGGTGTGGATCACCCTCCACCATCACAGAAGGCAGGCTGAACCTGGACAGCTGCAGGACCCTGGTGAGCCCTGTCCTGCCCACCCCCCAAGGGAGACTTTCTGAGCCATGCCTCACTCTCTACAACATTGTGGGAGCCTTAGTGAACCCTATCCTGACCCCCAAAATCATGGGACACTTAGAGAGCTTTGGCCTGCCCCCATCATAGTGGGAGTTTTGCTGAAATGCAGCTCACTTCCCATTTACTGTTGTGGAAGCCACACTGAACCCTGGACAGTGGGAGCTTTGGTGAGCCACTTCCACTGTGGAAGTCTTGCTGACCTATGCCCCACCCTGCCTACCATCAGTGCTGAGCCCCAGTGAACATTAGGAGCTTTAAAACTGTCAAAACAAAGGAGCAGAAGGCAATCCCAAACCTCCAGCCTACCCAGATTAAGTTCAAGAGACGAGGACATAGAAGAACTTAGAAGTCACACATATAAAATTTCTGAAATGATAGCAACTGAAGTAAAGAAACAACTCCATCAAGCTATAGAAGAAATCAGATCAGAAATAATCTCTCAGGTCAAAAAAAGAATTGACAACAGTCAAGAAAGAACTGTTCAGCACATCCAGAGAAGACACACATAAAAACAGAGAATAGAAAAATGATAGAAAATTGAATGGACAATATGAGAAAGAATTAGAATGCATGAAACAGATGCAAACAGACATCTAGGACATTAAGAATTCCATTGAAAGCTGGCAAAACCACTTAATGAAATTGAAGATAGACATTCAGACCTTGATGACAGCATTGTAGTTAGGGATCATGAAAGGAAAGAGTTCTTTTTTTTTTTTTTGGTGGAACCAGGGATTGAACTCAGGCCCTTGCATTTGCCAGACAAGCGCTTATCCTACTGAGCTATCTCAGCCCAAGAGTTCTTAAAAGTAGCAAGGAACCAGAAAATAACAGTTCAAAAGCTGAAAAATGATGCAAAGAAAAGCAGTATAAGATTAATAGCTGTCAGTGGAACAATAGGAGTCAACACAAATGACATAAAAAGACTATTTGCAGGGAATTTCTCAACCATGGAGGAAAGAATCCAGGCTATAGGCAAGTGAGGCATATAGAACTCCAATTAGCCATAATGAAAATAAATCTACACCCAAACACAAAATAGTCAAGATCCTAGAGATTCAGCAGAAGAACAGAATATTAAAAGCTATTAGAGAGAAGAAACAGATTACCTGTGATGGAAAGCCCATCAGAATCATGGCAGATTTCTCAACACAGACCATCAAATCAAGAAGAGCTTGAAGTGAAGTATTTCAGGTCCTGAAAGAAAATGATTTCCAACCTGATTGATGTACCCTGCAAAACTTTCTATCAAATTTGATAGATAAGATCCTTCCATGACAAAGAACAACTGAAGAAATTCATGACCACAAAACCAACCCTACAAAGAGTACTGACAGATATTCTAGAAAAAGACAGATGTGAACACAACTTCAAGCACAACAACAGCATTTTGCCGTAGGCACAGAATAGCAGTGACTGGCCTGACCTCACTCGAGCCAAATACACACTCAAAGAGCAGGCCCAGAAATTCTTGGTAGAAAAAGTATTGGACCATCTAGTTTTGATGACTGAGAGCTCCTAACTTGAAATTTATGAGGCAAGGTTATGGATATATATATATATATATAATAAAATATATAAGCTATATATTTGTATTGGTTATAGAGTCTAAAAGAAATGTCTACTACCTAAATTCTATGACTAAGTTCTTCCAACAGGAAGGCTTTGCATAGATTGTTATTTGGGAGTTATTTCAACCAATAGGAGCTGGAGCAGGCAGGTTGAGCAGGGAAAGAGAGAGAGAGAAAGAGGCTGCGTTATGGCTTGTCACCCCTCCAGGCAGTGGGAATCAGTCCTACCTGTGAGATCTCCGAGCAGCAGCAGAGCGCGCCTCAGCCTTCCAGCCCAAGCAGAGAAGAGCGCAGTGCCTACTGGCTCCAGGGTCCCTGGGCTAGGGCTTCGCCACTGCTGGGCTGCTTGTTACATGCCACTTCTGGCTGCAGTTCTTGTCTGGAACAGCTATCCAAGTCAGAGGCCAATTGCTCAGAAAGCTGCAGGCTGCCCAAAGAAGCAGACTTAAATTAAAGCGAGTGGACTGCCTTGGCAGGGGCCTCTCCCTCCTCCTCC